GGTTTAGGGTTTAGGGTTTAGGGTTTGGTTGTGCGCGCATTAGGGTTTGAGTGCGATTGGGGCCGCATCCCCTCGCCTGCTGCCCAGAGGGCTTTCATTCGGGTGTATTTGCAGCAGCTGCAGCAGCAGCAGGCAGCAGCAGCAGCAGCAGCAAACCCGGAGCCAGCTGCTGTAGCAGCAGCTGCTGCTGCAGCTGCTGCTGCTGCTGCAGCTACTGCAGCAGACCTTGATTATCAAGTTGAGAAGCTGCTGGAAGAGATTAAGCCGTTTTTTGCTGTCGCCCATTTGTACTGGGGTAAACCCTAAACCCTTCGTCAAACGCTAAACCCTAAACCCTTAACCCTCATTGAATCAGCAGCGGCAGCAACAGCAGCAGCAGCAGCAGCAGCTTTGGGTGTTGAGTCTCAGGCTTATGGGCTTCGCTACAGGCGAAGCACTCGGTAGTGGAATTTGACTTTGCAGAGTAGGCCTCAAACCCTAATTCCAGGGTTTAGGGTTTAGGGTTTAGGGTTTAGGGTTTCGTGGGTTCTGCTACAACCATCGCCAGAAAGGCAAAACAAACAGCAGTTTGCTTCCACCTATCCTAACGGTAAATAAATAATTAAATAAACAAACAAATAAACAAATAAATAGTTTTAAAAAATAAATAAAAGATAAATAAATGAATAAATAGATAAATTCTTTTTTTATTTTTTGGTTTTCAGATTTGCCCGCCGGCGGTTTGAGCGCATGTGGGTGGAGGTGAAGGCCTTGGAAGACGCAGCTGCAGTTTAGTAAGAAATAAATAAATAAATTAATTAATTAATTAATTAGATTAAATAAATAAATTAAATAAATAATAAATAATAAATATAAATAGAAGGAGAGGTTATTGGGGATGCAATTAGAAAGAAGCAGCGAAAACGCGGCGAAATTCGAGGGTTCAGGGTCTAGGGTTTAGGGTTTAGGGTTCAGGGTTTAGGGTTTAGGGTTTGTGGGTGCATGTGCAGCTAGAGGGTGCGGGGAGTCGTTTGGCGAAGCGTGAAGTGGAAAATGAAATCAATTTGGATTAATTTTTTATTCTTTTTAAAGAAAAGAAATAAAAGTGAAAAGAAGTGTTGGTTTGGTGGAGTTGAACATGAATATGAGCTGTACATACACCGCATTTGCTGGGGTTTGCACTTATGCATTTCTTTTTTGCATTTATTTTTTCAAATATAATAAACGCAATTTATTCTCTCCTTTATAAATTCAATTTATTATTTTATTTTATTTTATTCATTTCTATTTTCTTCTTTTTTCCTCCACAATTCGTCTTTTTCTCATTTCCCGCATTTCCTCCACGCATTCTACCACCACCCCAAGTCCTGATTATTTATTTATTTAATTGTTTATTTATAATTATTTATACTATTTACTGTCTATTATTATTTATTGTTTATTCTTTGTGTTGTCTTCACTGTGGCTTTTACTTATTCTTTTTCGCTTCTGTCTTTCTTTGGTCTTTGAAAAATCCAGAAAACGCAAAAGGCCATTTTTGGTCCATTTGAGGCTTTTTGCCTTTTTGCCGAAACGCTGCTGCAGCAAAAGTCCTTCCAAACAAAACACTTTTTTGCTGCAGCAGCAAAACCAATAAAAGGGAAGTCCCGCATGCACTCCGGTGTACGTACACCCCACAAAAATGCCAACTCCTGCGTGCTTTCAGCTGTACGTACACCCCACTGAAGTGCATGCTTTCGGTCGTACGTACAGCCCACTGAAGTGCATGCATTCGGGTGTACGTACACCCCAGAAAAATGCGAACTCGTGCATGCATTCGGGTGTACGTACACCTCAAAATGAAGAGAACTTCTGCATGCATTCGGGTGTACGTACACCCCAAAATGAAGAGAACGTGTGCATGCATGCGGGTGTACGTACACTCCAGCAGAAGGAGGACCGGCGCATGTGTTTACGTTTGTGTACATGCTGCTGCTGCAGAAGCTGTTGCTGCTGCAGCTGCTACTGCTGCAGTTCCTACTGCTGCAGAAGCTGTTGCTGCAGCTGCCATTGCTGCTGTAGCTGCTATTGCTGCAGTTGCTACTGCTGCAGCTGCTATTGCTGCAGCTGCTACTGCTGCAGCTGCTACTGTTGCAGCTGCTGTTGCTGCAGCTGCTACCGCTGCTGCTGCTGCAGCACGCGCATTCTACATAGCAGTTGCTGCTGCTGCTGCACGCGCGTCTTAGCAGTTGCTGCTGCTGCTGCAACTGCTGCTGCTGCTGCTGCTGCAGCAGCATGCTGACTAGTATTTAATCGGATAAAATGGTACTTCAACTTCGACAAATCTGGAGACGAAATGTTGAATTTAGGAATTGAATAAAAGTCGTTTGCAGCTATTTAGTTTTATCTTTTTTAATTCGCTTAATTATTTGTTTTAAATTAATTTAATCCTTTTAAATTAATTTAATTCTTTAAAATTAATTTAATGCTTCTTATTTAATTAACTGGCTTCCTCGCCAGTAGCAGCACTGGCAGCTCAATCGCTGTCGCTCAGCAGCAGCACTTCTTCCGTCCCTGCTGCTGTTGCTGCTGCTGCTGCTGCTGGTTGCTGCTGCTGTTCGGTCTCCTCCTCGAGGTCAATAACGACTTCTTCCCTGCGCAGCAGCAGACAGAATAAAGAAAAGAACTAAATGAATTAATTTAAATTCAAAATAATTTAAATTCAAATAAAAAATAAATTAAATGAATTAATTTTTAAAAATAAACTCATAAACCAGCAGCAGTAAAACGAACCGCTTCTGCCGCTTTGCTGCTTTCTCCTCCGCCGCCGCTTTTCTCTTTCCCCCTTCGCCCCTGCTGCTGCTGCTGCTGTCGCTGCTGCTGCTGCTGCTGCTGCCGCTGCTGCTGCTGCTGTCGCTGCTGCTGCTGCTGCTGCTGCTGTCAGGTTTGGTTATTATAAAGGCGTCTTCTTCCTCAGCCGAATTTTGGGCGAGGGATTTATCCTCCAGCAGCAGAAGGTCGCACTGGAAGTTTCCCTGTTTAAAAACAAATAAATTAAATAAATTAAATTGAATTAAATTAATTAAATTAATTAAATTAAATCAAATTAAATTAAAGAAATAGATGAAAGAGAAGAAGCAAACAAAAGGAGAGAGGGGCGCGCATGACACCAAAGCACCAGCAGCAGCAGCAGCAGCAGCAATGAACACCAGCAGCCGAAGCAGCAGCAGCAGCAAGGAACAGCAGCAGCAGCAGCAGAGTAACAGCAGCAGCAGCAACTGCGACAGCAGCAGCATCAGAACGCGAGCACCAGCAATAACAACAGCAGCAGCAAAACTAGCAGCAACAGCAGCAGAGACAGAACAGCACCAGCAGCAGAACATCAGCAGCAAATGCAACGGGAACAGCAGAAACAGCAGCAACAGCAGCACAGCAGCAACAGCAGCACAGCAGCAGCAGCAGCAGCACAGCAGCAGCAGCAATTACTTGAGAGAAGTCGGTCACAGTGAGCAGGGCCCCACTGTAAAGGCCTGCGTCAGTGAGTTTTGTTTTCTGCAGCATTTCTCGGTACTCTGCAGCCACAGCAAACCCTAAACCCTAAACCCTAAACCCTAGATCCCTGCTAGTCAAACCCTAAACCCCCGGCCCCAGACCCTTAAACCCTAATTCCTGAACCCTCAAACCCCAAACCTTGCTGAAACCCTCAAACCCCGGCCTCGCACCCCTCAAACCCCCCCAAACCCTAAACCCTAAACCATAAACCCTAAGCGCGTCGCTGCAGCAAACCCTCGGGCTTGCCTTTGTCTGCTTTTGCTTCCTCAGGGTCTATTACGTTTTTGCTGCTGTCAAGAAAAGGCGTGTTGCAGCCGAGGCCGTTTTGCAGCACTTTCGTCAAGAAGGCCAACAGACTCCACTGCTGCGCGCCCCACACTCCAGGGTTTAGGGTTTAGGGTTTAGGGTTTGTGGGGGGAACAGCAGACAGCGCGGGAAGCACGGCGCCGGAGCGAGAAAGCACAGCAGCGCCAGCAGCAGCAGCACCAGCAGCAACAGCAGCAGCGACTCCCACCCGCAGCAGCAGCAGCAGCAGCAACAGCAGCAACAGCAGCAGCGTCGCGTCTCTAACCCCCACCCCCAGCTGCACCAGCAGCAGCAGCAGCAACAGCAGCAGCAACGCAACCAACAACAACAGCAGCACCAGCACGAGCACCAACACCAGCAACACCAGCAAAACCAGCAGCAGCATTGCAGCAACATTGCAGCAGCACTGCAGCAGCAGCAGCAGCAGCAGCAGCAGCAGCAGCAGCAGACCTTGAGGCTGGCGAGTTTGACAGTGACTGTGATTTGCTGGCAAACGAAGCAGCTGCTTCTGGGGGCCTCCAAAGCCTCCGGCAGCAGCAGCAAACCGAACTCTTCGCTCCTCCTCCCCGTCACGAACGGCTTCACCCACACCTGCGCAAACCCTAAACCCTAAACCCTAAACCCTAAACCCTAAACCCTGGAGCCCGGGCCCTCGGTGCGCGCGCAGGGCTTCTTCCACAAGAGGTCTTGCGCGACAAAAGAGATTCGTCTCATTTACGAGTTTAGGGTTTAGGGTTTAGGGTTTAGGGTTTAAGGCGATGGAGACCTGCCGAGCGAGGCTGTCCCGCACTGTCTTCTCTGGCTGCTGCTGCTGCTGCTGCTGCTCCTTCTGCAGCTTCTGCTGCTCCATGAAGCTCAACAAATGCATCGCCTCTACGACCTGCAGCAGCAGCAGCAACAGCAGCAGCAGCAGCAGCAACAATAATAGCACGTACATGCAGCAGCGGCAAGCACGCAGCTACGCGCAGCCCTAAACCCTAAACCCTAAACCCTAAACCCTAGTTTTCTTACCTGCATTGCAGCAACAATTGCATTTGTGCTCGCAATGGCTGGGATGATGGCGCCAACGATCGCCTGCAGCTCCCATCGGTTCTGCAGCAGCAGCAGCAGCAGCAGCAGCAGCAATACCTTGGATTATCTTCGTCGCAGCAGCAGCAGCAGCAGCGAGTTACTGTAGCAACAGCAGCAGCCCCATTCACGCAACAGCAGTAACAACAACTGCAACGGAGGCCGTAGCAGCAACTGCTGCAGCTCCGTCCCCACAACCAGCAGCAGCACCAACAGCAACAACAACAGCAGCAGCAGCAGCAGCAGCAGTCTCTGCGTGCCTTTGGAGGTATGTGGAAGGTGTTCATGCGAATGATGGATGCTGCAGCAACAAAGTCCATGGCCAGGTCATCGTCCTTGTCAAACGGGATCCCCTGCTGCTGCTGCTGCTGCTGCTGCTGCTGTTGCTGCTGCTGCTGCAGCAGCCTCTGCTTCCTCTCCATAAGTGCGCAGAAGGTGCGGAGGAAGATCTTCTGGCACTCCTCCACGGACCAGATCTTGTGCGGCGACGGCTGCTGCCACTGCTGCTGCTGCTGCCCTTGCTGCTGCTGCTGCTGCTGCTGGTACCACTGCAGCAGCAGCTGGGGTTGTATGAGGGGTGGCTGGGGCTCTTTTCCACTTTTCCAGTTTTTTTTCAACTTGAGGAGATCTTTAATTTGTTTGCTGAAGACCTCCTCCATCACGCGAACCCCCGCTGCTGCCAACCCCCCCCCACCGCTGCCGCTGCCGCTGCCGCTGCCGCTGCTGCTGCTGCTGCTGCTGCAGCAGCAAAGTGCGTCCAAGTCCTGCTTCAAGTCCGCCAGCAAGTTCGCAGGGTCCTCAGCAGCAAACAGCAACTCGTGCAGCATTTTGGCCCAAGCAGCACAGTGTTCGGGGCGGTCTGGCTGCTGGCGGAGGGTGCAGACGGCGAAGTGCTGCTGCTGCTGCTGCTGCTGCTGCTTCGCCTCGCAGTCGAAGCACAGCGTGCTGCCCCCCACAATCGGCACCGCCTGCCCGCTGTAGCCGCTGCTGCCGCTCTCCAGCAGCGGCTTTGCTGCTGCAGCACAGAGCCGGTTTAGCTGCTGCCGGGCCCGCAGGTTGTCCAGCGCTCCGAAGCAGCAGCAAAACGAACGCAGCAGCGACACCGAGAACTCCGGCTCGAAGATGCTGCAGCAAACTCCCACTATTCCGAACAGCACGCGCCCGTCCACCAGTCCTGCTGCTCCTGCTGCTGCTGCTGCTGCTGCTGGTGTTTCGGCGTCTGCGGGCGCCGCCGCCGCCGCTGCTGCTGCTGCTGCGGGGTCCGCTGCTGCTGCTGCTGCTGCTGCGGCGACGACCGCGGGGTCCAGGGCGGCGTCTCGGGCGCCCCTGGCGGCCGCTGCTGCTGCTGCTGCTGCTGCCAGGGGGTCGGCGCCCGCGGCCGCCGCAGCAGCAGCAGCAGCAACAGCAGCACGCCCCTGGCGAATGCGGGAGAGCTGCTGCGCGGAAAAGAGACCTGCTGCTGCTGCTGCCAGCACTGCTGCCTTGCTGCTGCCCACGTGCTGCTGCCTGAAGAAGAACTGCCGGTTCAAATTCGTTATGTCAATCGAGTCCAAGTCCAAAACCAAAATCCGGTAAAAGCCCCGCAGCACCAGACTTTTCACCAGCTCGCAGCCGATGCCGCCCGCCCCCACCACCAGCACGCTCCCGCTGCACACGCTGCTGCTGCTGCTGCTGCTGCTGCTGCAGATGCCGCTGCTGCTGCTGCTGCTGCTCACGCCGTTGGAGGGAGACGGGGAACCGCAGGGAGCTTTCGGGAGGCTGCGGCTCGGAGAAGCTCCTGCTCCTGCTGCTCCTGCTGCTGCTGCTGCTGGGCTGGCCGAGCTGCTGCAGGAGGGGGGTGCTGCTGCTGCAGCGCACGGTGCGCCATCTGCTGCTGCTGCTGCTGCAGCAGACTGCGCCCTGGGATGCTCGTGGGCCCCCATCGCTGAGAAACGTCCGAAGGCTGATCCTCCGACGAGGAAACCGCCGCCGCTGCTGCTGCTGCTGCTGCTGGTGCAGCAGCAGCTGCTGCTGCTGCTCCTTTAATCAGAGTTAAAAGCTGCGCGTGGCGGCAAGAGGAAAGTGTTTAGATAAGCAGCAAAGACACGGGAAAGAGCGAAGGCTCAAACGACACCCTGGGGAGAACTCAACAGGCAGCTGCAGCAGCAGCAGCAGCAGCAGCAGCAGCAGCTGCTGCCGGAGCACCGAGTGAAAAGCAAAGAGCAGCAAAGCAGCAAAACAAAACTAAATGAATAAAAATGAAATAAAATAAATAAATGCAATTAAAAGGGAAAGAAAATATAAATGAAAGTCTTCTGCATGCGCCAAGACTGCCGCCGCGCGCAGCCGACCGGGGCTTTGGGGCTCTTGTGGATTTGAAATTGAAATTCATTTGAAGTTTAGTTAATTAATTTAATTTAATTAATTTAATTAATTTAATTAGTTTCATTCAATTCAATTTATTTATTTTATTTTTAAATGTCAATCATGTTCAGCAAATAGTCGCCAGATATGTCCAAAGAAGAAGGCAAAAATGCCGCCTCCCCCCCATGCTGCTGCTGCTGCTGCTGCTGCTGCTGCTGGTGTTGCAGCAGCAGGTCTTCTTGCGTTTTGCTTTCTTCTTCGAGCCTGAGCCCAGAAGCAAATAACAAAAGTATATTTAATTGTCAAAATTTTAATATTTAATTATTTATTATTTTAATTTTAATTTTTTCTTTTATTTATATTTACTCACTGCGGCGCTGCTCCTCCCCAGACTTGACTCTCCCTTGCGGTGTCTCTGCAGCACTTTCTTCTTTTCGCTTCCTTCTCCTTTGCTGCTGCTGCTTCTGCTGCTGCTTCTGCTGCTTCTCCTGCTGCAGCAGCAGCTGCTGCTGCTTCTGCTGCTGCTGCTTCATGTCTCGCCTTGTGTGCCCTGCTGCTGCGCTGCTGTGGGTCCGAGGTGTCTGTTGCCTCTCCTGCTGCTGCTTCTTCTCGCTCAGCTGCTTCTTTATAGTTAGCTGCTTCTGTTTTGTCTTCCTCTTCTTCTTCGACCTCCTTTGATTTGCTGCTGCTGCTGCTGCTGCTGCTGTTGGCTTTGCTGCTGCTGCTGCTGCCCTTTTCTGCCTCTCTTTGCGTCTCCTCTTCCTCTTTTTCCTGCTCGTTCCCACTCCCAGACGTTCTCGCCGCGGGCTCTAGCTGCTGCTGCTGCTGCTGCTGCTGCTGCTGCGCATATTGTTGCTGCTGCTGCATTGGGTGGCAAGTGGTTTGGTCCACTGCTAGGACATCTGCAGCCGACAATTTGTTAACTGCAAAGTTTGCTTTTTCTTCCCAACACTCAATACTTTCAAAGGAAGAAGAGACGCTTTCATTCATTGCTGCTGCTGCTGTTGCTGCTCCCTTTGCTTGTGCTGCTGCTGTTGCTGCTGCTGCTGCCGTTTGCAGCATTTCTTTACGTAACTCAGACTTGTGCTGCAGTCCAGCTGCCGCCGAGTTCAATTTGCATAATTTGAAAAGCTTTTCATCAGCATTAAGTGTTGCTGCTGGCGTTGCAGCTTCTTTGTCTTCTCTGCTAGACCCTATCCAGGGCTTGTTCATCCTGCTGCTGCTGCTGCTGCTGTCTTCGGGATTGCTGTTATTGTTGCTGCTGCTGCTGCATGTTTGTGGGTCATCGCTGCTGCCGTCTGCGTTTTCGGTGCTGCTGTTGGCACTTGCTTCCTTTTGCTGCTGCTGTTTGTCTGTGACAGCTGCATCTGGCTCGTTTGCTGCAGCAAAAAGATTAAAAGAGATTTGCTGCTTCGAAATTGTCTTTTATTTCTCACTTTCTGAAAAAGAAAGAAATTCCTTTTCCTGAAGATCGGCACGGAACTTGAAGGAATTCAGGTGTATAGGCAGCTCTCCAGGTGCTCACCGCCGCAGCCACGCTGAAAGCCGTTCAAAATAACGAGAACTGCCACAATTAAAGTGTCAATTTGAATAATAATTAGATTTATAATTATATTTATAATTATAATTATGATTATTATTTATATTTTAATGTTTAATTGAATTTTCCGACTCTTTTGCTTCGCTCACCCCAGAGCCGCCAAGTCCGAGAGCCGCCGCCAGAGCTGCGCCTTCTCCTCCTGGAAAGTGGAAGGACGAAGAAATTGAATTAAAAAGATTCAAGCATGTTTTATTTAATTTAATTTAATTTAATTAATTTTAATTAATTTTAATTCATTTTTTGTTTAATTCAAAACAATTCATTTCTCTTTACTTCCAACTTCAACTTCGCCGCCGCCGCCGCCGCCAGCGCCGCCCGCAGCTGCGCGGCTTGCTCTTGGGCTGTACGTACAGCTTGTTCTTTGAGTTTCACTTCTGCTTCCAACTGAAGTTGAAAACATTTAAAACTAAATCAGAAATTAAAAGTGAATTAAATCGGCCAAACTGGCCCTCTAGTGGCTCCGTACTCTGCAGATCTCGGCCTCCTTGAGCTGCAGAGATTGCTGCTGCTGCGCCTTTGCTGCTGCGAAGTTATCTGCTGCTTGCTGCAGCAGCTCCACGCGGCTGCGCATTTCTTCTCTTTCCGCAGCAGCAGTTTCTCTCTCCGTCTTCAATTCTGTCTCGAAGAAATAACAAAAGAAAGAAAATATAAAACAGAGGAAGCTCCAAGTTCTCCTCAACGGCCTCCCCGTTCAAAGACACCAAAAAGAACACCTGCAGCAGCAGCAGAAGCAGCAGCAGCGGGAGTGCTCACGCTGCAGCGCCTTCTTCAAGCCTCGACACTGCTCCGCGAGGCTGGCCTGGCCCTGGGCTATTTGCTGCATCATTTCTGCTGCCACTTTCTCTCTGTCTTCTTTAATTTTGAAATCTTCTTTTTCTTGTTTCAAAGAAAAGACTTGAATTTCTGCTGCTGCGAGCTGCTGCTGCGCGGCTTCGAGCGCCTGCTTGAGGGCCCCGCAGACGGCCTGCAGCAGCAGAAGAGCAGCAAATTGCGCAAAAGAAAAGCAAAAAACAAATAATTCTGCAAATTAAGCTCAAATTAAATCTTTTAATTCAAAATTTGCAAAATTTCACCCGCAACTCGGCGATTTCCCGCTGCTGCTGTTCGCTGTCGCGGCGCCAGTTGCTGGCGGCGGCCTCGTGCTGCTGAGCAGCAAACGCGGAAGCAGCTTGTTTTTGAACTCCATCTTCATTTATTTTGCGTTTTAATGCATTTAATTCCGAAATGAGTTTCAGTTCTTCTTTTTTTCTGCGAAAATTCGAAGATCGGAGGTGTTCCATTTCGGCCGCCAGGCTCTGGAACTGCCGCCGATAGCGGCAGAGGAACGAAATGTCTTCATCTTCAGCCACCAAGTCTTCTTCTTTTTCCAAAAAGGATTTGCTTTCTTCCATTTTCTCCGTAAAAGAAGAAGAAGACACTATTTTAGCGCGAAAGAAACAAATCCGAAAATCTGAAAATTGCAAAATGTGAATTGTGACGGACGTGTTGGCAGAACTTGAGTCGCTTGCTGGTCGAGCTGCCTATACACCTGAAGCTGCGCGGAAACCGCGAGCCGATCTTTCATCTTCTGCGGCTCAAATTAATAAATTGTTTTAAAAATGAATTTATAATTCATTATTCGCATTTCGGAGAAGGTTTTGAACAGTTGTAGCCCGGAGCCCCCCAGCCCCAAGACGCAACCAACCAACCCCCCAGGTGCCGCGCGAGACAGAAACGGCAATTCAGGAGGACCCTATCCAATTAATGAGTTTATTTTTCGCGTTTTCCCTTCTATTTACTATTTCAATTTAATTAAATTTAATAATTTTCTCTTTCGAGCGTCGACTCTGGAAAGAACAGAAGGAAGGAGCGGATATATGCGCAAGCTCCTGAGCCTCACCAGGCCTTCGTCGCTTCCTCTTTCCCCCTAAAAAGCCCAGTCTTCTTCAACTTATAATTATTAAAGTTAAATTTAACTTTTCATTTCCTTTTTATTCACGAAGACAGCCGCGAGAGCCCGCCGTGGCGCCAACAGCTTCCCGCCTGTGTGCTTCGTCGAAAAACCCCGTCTGTCCAACACGCAGCTAGGGTTTAGCGTTTAGGGTTTAGGGTTTAGGGTTTCCTCTGCAGCCTGCCCTCGCCTCTGCCACCCAACTCGGTTTCTTTTCAATTTATTTTCTTTTCTTTTTCATTTCTTCAACTCCTCCAAATCCCTGCGGAGAAAAAGGCAAAACAGGAAAAAGAAAAAGAATAAATCTTTTGCCTCCAAGGACAGCCACGTGCGTCCCCCAGTCTCCGTCAAACTCCGCTAAACTCCCTGCTGCTGCTGCAGCTGCTGCTGCTGCTGCTGCTGCTGCTGCTGCAGTGTGAAGTGGCTGTACACCCGACGATGGAGCCTGCTGCTGTGATGCCTCCCGCTTCCAAGGGCTCTCTTGCCTCCTACTTCCCTCCCCCGCAGCTCCCCTCCCCCCCCCCTCCGCAGCAGCAGCAGCAGCAGCAGCAGCAGCAGCGGCGGCGCAGCGCAGCAAGCCTCTCCCCGAAGCAGCTGCTGCCCAAAAGCCCCTCCGACGGCGAAGCTGTTCGGCAGTTTTGCGCGTTTGGCCTTCGCAGTTTTCGGCAGCGAAGAAATTCTTATTTGAACAGCCGCAGCAAACATTCTCACAAGCGCCACCAGCAGCAGCAGCAGCAGCAGCAGCAGCCGCTGCTGCAGGAGGAGCAGCAGGCGCTGGCGCACGGGCAGCCGCAGCAGCAGAGGCAGCTGCACCAACATCCCTACGACGAGAGACAGCTCCCCCAGCTGCTGCAGCAGCAGCAGCAGCTCGCGCTGCAGCAGCAGCAGCAAGGGCCCGCTGCTGCTCTCGAGACAGCAGCAGCAATCTTCAGCAGCAAAGAAGGCAAGGGGGCCCCCCTATCCCACCACTCGGGAGACAGCTGCTGCAGCCCCGCAGTCTCGACAGCAGCAACGGCAGTGGCTGCTGCATCAGGGCAAGCAGCAGCAGCAGCGGGAGAAGCAGCAGCAGCGACGGAGGCAGACACCGAAACAGACACAGCAGCAGCCGAAGAAACGGAGACAACTGCAGCAGTAGACACAGCAGCAGCAGCAGCAGCAAGCAGCGAAGAGGGCTCTCCACTGGCTAGGCAGCACCAACTCGCTTGGCAGCAGCAGCAGCAGCAACAGCAGCAGCAGCAGCAGCAAGGGAAGGAATGTGTACAGGCCATAGAGCAAGGCCAGTCTCATAAGCCCATCCCACAAGACGAGCAGCAGCAGCAGCAGCAGCAGCCTTGGAAGCGGCTTGTAAATGGAGCAGTAGGGAAGACGCACCAGCTGCTGCTGCTGCTGCAGCAGCTGCTGCTGCAGCACCGCGCCTTGCTGCCAGTTGTCCCATCTTTGCTGCTAGCAGCAGTGCCAGTTGCAGGGACCCTTTGCGTGCTCGTGGCAAGCCTGTTTCCAGTAAGCCCTGATTCAGGGTTTAGGGCTTGGGGTTTAGGGTCTAGGGTTTAGGGTTTAGGGTCTAGGGTTTAGGGTTTAGGGTTTTGTGTGCGCGCAGCTTTGCGGGCTGCTGCCTGTGGGATTTGGGGTTTATATGCTGTGGGGTAATCTGGTTGAGTTGCTGCAGGTAAACCCTAGACGCTAAACCCTAAACCCTAATCCCTAAACCCTAATTGTTCCGTTTCAAACCCTTGAGTCTAAGGTGCTGCGCCTAGGGTTTAGGGTTTAGGTTTGAGGGTTTAGGGTTTGTGGCTGTTTGCAGGGCGGCAGCGGATGGCAGCGGGCTGCAGCAGCAGCAACTGTTTTGCTGCTGCCGCTGCTGCTGCTGCCTGCTGCTGGCTTTGTTGCTGCTGGGGGTTTGCTGCTGCTGCTGCTGCTCCCGCTGCTGTTCATCTTGATTCCTTTGGGCCTCATCTGCAGCGTGCCACTTGCCGTAAACCCTAAACCCTAAACCCTGAACCCTAGGACTCTAAGCATGTGCTGCACCCTTTAACTGCCATTTATTCCCTTTCTATCTTTCCCTACTATTGGATTTAGGGTTTAGGGTTTAGGGTTTAGGGTTTGAAGGTGGTTTCCTTGGCTTTCTTTCTATTTTAATTTTTTTTTTCGCTGTATGTGTCTTCTTTGCAGCACCCTAAACCCTGAACCCTAAACCCTAAACCCTAGTTCCAGAGTCAAAAACTAAAGTTTGCAGACGCCTTAGTTTGCGTTGAACTCGCTTGCTCTTAGGGTTTAGGGGTCCAGACCCTAGGGTTTAGGGTTTAGGGTTTAGGGTTTAGGGTTTTGCTTTTTGCTGCAGGCGGTGTCTACTGGCCTTCTGTTGGTCCTTAACGTCGTCTCGCAGCCCTCCAGAGCTCTAAACCCTAAACCCTAAACCCTAAAAAGAAGGTTCTGGTGGCTCTGGCGAGGCCGCCGCGCTATTATTTTTTTTAAATAAAAAATAAAATGAAATAAAATAAAACAAGATCAAATAAAATGAAATAAAATTAAATTGAATTAAATAAAATTAAATTAAATTAAATTAAAAATAAGAAAAGAAATATAAAAGGCTTAGGGCCTTTTCTTCCGTCCGAGCTTCTACTTCTTTGAAGGATATTCATTTATTATTTGTTTAGTATTTATTTATTATTTATTTATTTATTATTATTTATTATGTATTTACCTATTATTTTATTTATTTATTCATTTATCTATTATTTTATTTATTTATTTATTTATTTATTTATTGTTTAATTAGTTTTTTATTATTTGTTAATTTTTAATTTTTTATTTATTTATTTATCCATTACCATCTTTCACAATTCAAGTGCGGAAATGCATGCAGAATTGTTGTGAATTGAATGTAAAATAAATAATATAATAAATAAATAAATAAAAAATAAATAAATAAATAAATAAATTGAATTGGTTTAAACGTGTAAAAGCGTTCAGGTGTACACGTACACTTGAGGAATTTCTTTCGGTGTATCCGGACTTTTTTATTTGAAAATGAAACGAATAAAAACAATTAAAAACAATTTAATGAATTAAATGCAATTAAGAACAATTAAATGCAATTAAAAACAATTAAATGCAATTTATTCCAACTAAATGCAATTGAAAACAACTGAAAACAATAAAATGCAAATAAATGCAACTTAATGCAATTTTAAGAAATAAAAACAATTAGAAACAATTACATGCAATTAAATGCAATTAAATGTATTTATTATATTGTTATGCATGCAAAAAATCGAAAATAAATAGAAATAAAGAATAATGGAACTCAAATGAAAAGAATTATAAATAAATAATAAAGCATGCATGCGGAGTGCGGTGTCTGTACACCCGAAAAGGCGGCGAAATGGAAAAGTACAAAACCGCCTTTTGCAAAAACAGAAAAACACTTTTAATTAAAAACTTTCTGAGTTTGGATAGTAATATATCATAAATGGCATGCATAAGTCTTTTACTTCGCATGCAAATGCGAAATAAATTAATTATTAATCTTTTAATTTTATTTAATAATGCATTATCTGCATAGTGCAGACTTAAGTGTGTATACACCTGCTTCAGCCAGCTACTGCATATATGGCTAGGGTTTAGGGT